CCTAACAATTTTCTGTTAATAAAGAGTCAAAGCCCGGCCCGGCCCATGAACAGGTCTATGTACAGCTAGTTGGAGTGGAACTATATCTCCTAGAATTAAGGAGATAAAGATACAATCCTAAATCTGATGGAATATGCTAACATCCCCCCTCAAACTCAAGATGGTAATGTATCAGTCATCTGAAGTTTGCCAACTAGAGTGCGAAACTGAAGAGAAGAGTGAACTTTGGTAAATATATCCGCAGACTGATCCTAGGAAGGGACAGGAATAAGGCGAACAGTACCCTCGAGCACATGATGACGAATAAAGTGGCAATCAGTTTCAATATGCTTAGTGCGCTCATGAAATACATCATTGTGGGCAATCTGTATGGCGCTACGATTATTCCCATGTCATGAAGTAACCATCGTAACCATCGTAACCATAACAGCTCGGAGGTAGTGTTAGCAAGAGCTCGATATTCAGCCTCAGTACTGGAACGAGAGACAACCGTTTGCTTCTTACTACGCCAAGATATAAGAGAATCGCCAAGAAAGAAGCAATAACCAGTAGTGGAGCGTCTGTCAGTAGGATCACCGGCCCAATCAGCATCAGAATATACGATCAAAGGAAGAGAGGAAGAACTGGAGTAGTGAAGTCCATGAAACAAGGTGCCCTTGACATAATGGATGATGCGAAGCACGGCAGCATAATGAGTAGTGCGAGGGGAAGACATGAACTGACTCACAATATGGACAGTATACACAATATCAGGATGAGTAACCGTAAGGTATACAAGACTGCCAACTAGTTGCCGATATAAGGTGCAGTCACTGAGAGGAGTACCATCAGTGGCTAAAAAATGGGCATTAGGCTCAATCGGAGTGTTAACAGTCTTAGTATCAGTGAGGTCGGCACGAGAAACAAGATCAGTGGCATACTTGGCCTGAGACAAATAATATCATGATTGGTCGGAGGAGACCTCAATGCCTAAGAAATAATTTAGTCGACCAAGATCTTTCATTTCAAACTGTTTGCTGAGAAAAGTCTTAAGAGCATAAATGCCCTGCAAATCATAGCCACTAATGATCATGTCATCCACATAAAGGAGAAGAAGTACACAACCCTGAGAGGTCTTACGAATGAACAAGGCATGATCATGAGTGCTAGACTGAAAACCAAACTGACAAACTGTAGAGCTGAATTTGGAGAACCATGCTCGAGGTGCTTGCTTAAGTCCATATAGAGCCTTACGGAGACGACAAACTTGATTATGGAGATGATCATAACCAGGAGGGGGCTGCATATAAATCTCTTCAGAAAGATCTCTATTGAGAAAAGCATTCTTAACATCCATCTGAAATAGTTGCCAGTGCTTAGCTGCGGCAATCACAATAAGACTGCGAACAGAAGTGAGATGGGCTACTGGGGCAAAAGTCTCCTCATAATCAATGCCATATTCCTGTGTAAACCCTTTTGCTACCAATCTAGCTTTATACCTTTCAATTGAACCATCTGCCCTATTCTTGATTTTGTAGACCCATTTACAACCAATCACGGATTTATCTGAAGGCATGTCAACTAAATCCCAAGTATGAGTGCTTGTAAGAGCTTGGATTTCTTCTGCCATTGCTTTTTGCCATAGAGAGCCAGTGTTAGCCTCGCGATAGGTACGAGGCTCGTATAAAGAAACAATGGTAGAGTAACAGTGAAAATCACGAAGAAGAATGGAAGGTTTAGTGACCCTACCAGAACGACGGAGTAGAGCATTAGAACAATCAGGGTCTAATTCAGCAAAAGGAATCAAGAGTTCAGAAGAAGACAAAGCTGGAGAATCCATAGCCAAGGTAGATACATCAGGAGAGGTTGCAGGTTGTGCAGTACTATTAGAGCTATCAGAGGAAGAAGTAGTCAAACCTGCAGGTAAATCTTTAGGAAAAAGATAAATAGTAGGATTAGTAAAAAAATATGAATATGTCGTGGTAACTTGAAATGGGGAGAGACTTGAGAACATTTTGTGTTCCCAAAAGGTAACATGACGAGATATGTGAAGTCGTTGGGAAAGAGGATCCCAACACCGATATCCTTTATGTTCAATACCATACCCGAGAAAACAACATAAACGTGCTTTTGGTTCCAATTTGGTATGTTCATGAGGTTGTAATAGAACAAAACAAGTACA